TTGATTCTATGTATATGATGTTATTTTGGCGAATTGATCGCACAAATGAGACCGTAAGATGTTTTTAAGATCATATGTATGTTTGGTTTGGAGCCCCGAGGGNTTCTACAAATTGAGAAGTTGGACCTCAATTTGAGGTCCGATTTCAAAACAAATCATATATTTGGATTCGTGGGAGAATGGGTAACCGGGTTTCGGTCCGAACCTCGAGTTTCGACCACGTGGGTCCGGGGGTGTTTTTGACCATTTTGGGAGAAACCTTGTAACATTTATTTATCATGCCTGGGGAGTGATTCATTTAGTAATTATTAATGTGATTAAGTAACTTATGACTAGATTCGAGCGGATTGGTGGTGGAATCAAGAGGTAAAGCTATACTAGAAGCGTGAGTTGAGTTTGGAGCATTCGAGGTAAGTGTTTGTTCTAACTTTGGCTTGAGGGAATAGGATTAGGATGTTATTTGCTACTTGCTAATGTGGAGTACGGTGTATAGGCATGGTGACGGTTATCTATGCACCGGAGTCTAGCATGACCGTGAGTCTTAATTGCTTTTAATTCGAATAACGTGACACAATCTCCTTGTTTATTTGATGAGTTTCATATAATGTGAACGGTTGAGGTAAAATTGTGATTGGTGTACTTTTGGAGCGTTAGCTCGAACATGAATGTGTTAGTTGAGGAAGAAAGGATTTAAAAAGAGAATGTGTTGTGATTACTCACTTGCCGGGATGTGTAGACCGATATATATACTCTCCCTTGTCGGGATATTTTTGGGCTGTTAGTTGTACCCTTGCCGGGTTAGAGTGATATGTTGTTGATTTCCCCTTATGGGACTCTCCTTACAAAATCATATGTTTCGAATTATATTATTGGATCGTGTGGCACGCCGTCCACTTTTATCTGATATTATGGGATCGTATGGCACGCCATCCACTTATATATGATATTATGGGATCGTGTGGCACGCCGTCCACTTTTATATGATATTATGGGATCGTGTGGCATACCGTCTACTTATATATGATATTATGGGATCGTGTGGCACGCCGTCCACTTTTATATGATATTATGGGATCGTGTGGCATACCGTCTACTTATATATGATATTATGGGATCGTGTGGCACGCCGTCCACTTTTATATGACATTATGGGATCGTGTGGCATGCCATCCACTTATATATGATATTATGGGATCGTGTGGCACACCGTCCACTTTTATATGATATTATGGGATCGTGTGGCACGCCGTCCACTTATATATGATATTATGGGATCGTGTGGCACGCCGTCCACTTTTATATGATATCATGGGATCATGTGGCACGCCGTCCAATTATATATGAATATATATCATGGGAACCAGAGTTTCTTCTGTTTATTTCTGATATTTCATTTTTATCTGTTACTCCCCGATAGCATGTCCCCTCCTAGCTTTACTTTGTATTATCTTATTATTGTTTTCTTGCACTTGTATATATATCTGTACAGGTTAATTGTGGTAGGCCTGTCTAGCCTCATCACTACTTCGCCGGGGTTAGGCCAGGCACACACCAACACATGGGGTCGGTTGTGCTGATGCTACACTCTGTGCAGTTTTGTGCACAGATCAGGGAGTAGCTTACGGACCACAGTAGTAGGACTTCTGGGAGCTATCTTCAGTCCAGGGACTCTCGAGGTAGCCTAGCTGGAGTTCGCAGGCCAAAGTCCCTTTCCATGTTTTTCGTTTGTTCATCCTGTATCAGACAAACATGATGTATTTCCTTTCAGACATTGTTTGTAGTATTCTGTAGTAGTCCGTAAGCTAGTGACACCAGACCTTGGGTAGTGATGTGTACTAAACTTCTACACTTTTGGTTTTCAGTTGCTTTAGATTTAAAGTCTTCCGCTTAAATTTTGTCTCGTTTATTATATTGTTTGAAAGAAAGCAGGAAAGGTGTTTTAAATATTTGGCTTGCCTAGCTCCGATAGTAGGCGCCATCACGACACCCGATGGTGGGAAATCCGGGTCGTGACACTACCAGCAGACCTGGCATAGTCTTTAGTGTAGGGCTTTGTGCTCGCTTTCAGGCTAATCCAAAGGAATCACACTTGACTGGTGTCAAGAGGATACTGAGATATTTGAAAGGCACTACTGATTTGTGTCTTTGGTACCCTAAAGGTAGTAATTTCAATCTAGTAGGGTATGCTGATGCTGATTATGCAGGTTTCCTTGTGGATAGGAAAAGCACCTAAGGTATGACTCATTTTCTGGGTTCATGTCTTGTATCATGTGCCACTAAAAATCAAAATTCAGTGGCCTTATCCATTGTTGAGGCTGAATATATTGATGCTGCCTCTTGTTGTGCTCAATTGCTGTAGATTAAATAGTAGCTGGTAGATTTTGGCATTGAAGTTGGTTGCATTCCTATTTTTTGTGATAATACTAGTGCTATAAGTATGACAAAGAACCCTGTTCATCATAATAGGACTAAGCACAAAGATGTTAGACACCACTTCCTAAGAGATAACTATGAGAAAGGATTGATCTCCATAGAATTCTGTGCTACTGATAAACAAATTGCTGACATCTTCACTAAAATACTGAGTAGAGAAAACTTTGAGAGGAACAGGTTCGAATTAGGGATGATTAAGATCACCTAATAGGACCAGCTCAGAATGCAAAATGAAAAAAAAATTCTTTTGGCTAGGAAATCTGAACTTGTGTAAATATCTAGATTAATTTTTACTCAGCTTCATACTATAATTAGTATACTCTTGTGACATGTGTTAATATGACTCACTGATCTCTTACAAAATTTTCTCTATTATGGCAAATTGAGGCATGTTCAAGAGAATTCTAAATGAAGAACCTGGTTCATCAGTATGGGTTCATCTGAAAGCTAAGGTATGTTTTCTATACTCTGCACAATTAGAAAATTAAACATTTAAATCATGAGAAGAAGTCCAACAATTGTTCAATTCCTTATAAAATTCTATCCGTTAGCTTTGAACCAGTTCCGTCAGCCTTAGAACTNCCTATACAAGTTTTCTCAGCCGAACCATAACTCAATATCTGAGAGCGCAGGCACAAATGCTCAATCATCCACATCTGTAACAATAAGTTTCATCCCTCAAAAGAATTTCCCCCAGATTTGCACGCAGTGAGAGCTCTGAAGATATCAGCCACAATCATAGGTGCTAAAGTGCTTTTCCCCATGGTTTGCAAGGTACTGACGATGCCCGCTATTTTCAAATCAATATTGCCATCTTTCCTTGGGAATATTACGAGACCCAAAAAAGCTATCATAAATGCCACTCGTCTGTGATCCTCCCATTTTTGTTGGCTATTTCTGCTGCACAGCTTAAAGTCTAGATTATTGAACCCGCCCACATGGCCATATCTATAATACATGAAGCGGAAGCTGCAGAAACCCCTTGCAAAATCTGGATGATGAACTGTTCGGGGTATTTTCAAGGAATCTAGGAATCGGTGTATGGTAATGGCCCTAGGAGCAATCAAGTATTTGAATCTCAATGCAGCTTGGTCACTTCCAATGTACCCCGCTATTTCTTCTAACGTCGGGGTGAGTTCGAAGTCTGAAAAATGAAACACATTATGTGCCGCATCCCAATGGGCGACCAGTGCCCTGATGATACCCCCCCGAGGCTGAATGTTTAATAAATCCGGAAGGTCTTTCAAATATTTTCTCACTTCGTCTTGCCCTTCGTTACCCAAATCATTCCACCACAATTGCAGCTCAAAAGGAATTTTGGTCATTATTGAAAAAGGCTCATTTATCATCGTGCTCATCCTGCACATTTATTAAAGCATTTAAGCAAGAAAAGAAAAACTTTTATTTAACTCTGAAACAACTATCTATATTATCGACTCAAAATTACCCCTATATTTCACATGAAGAACTCAATTCTCAATTCTAAAATTTTCTCTTTTTTTTAGATAGAAGACACGATATTGCGACACGACCCTTCAATGCCTCGAGGGCGAAAATTTTAAGGCTGTGAGGGTCAAAAATCAAAATACGACCAAAGGTGGCTGTTTATGCAAAGTCAGCCTTCCGGCGTCCCGTTTGGGAACATTTGGCTATTTTTGACCAAAACGCACCACCTGGTTTATTTGTGACAAAAATTAAAATTGATATTTTTGGTTATTTTTGCAAAGGGGAGGTTGGACCTGATGAGGGTTGCCTACGTATCTCACACCCTGTGAGAATCAAACCATGCGTAGTTCGGGTAAATTATCCGAACCAATTCAAAACATGGCTCTTTTGATTTTTATTCATGAATAAAAACTATTTTTAGAAACAAGACTCTCTCTTTTCTTTTCAACAAATAAAACAACCCATTTTCAAGCTGACAATAACAGACTTTTTTTCTTTTTCATTTTTTCCCTTTCAACAACCTATTTTCCCAAACTAAGAATAAAAGATTTTTTTTTTCGACAGACACTTTTCAAAATAAACGACCGTCTTTTTCTTTGCTGCTTTTTTTTAGTAAAACAAAATAACACATTTTCCTTTTTATTTTCAAAATTTCGGCAGAGTTTCGCCAGTAATTGGTCATTGATTTTCCTAAAATAATCAATTAATTCCCGAGATTCAGAAACCGGTCAACATGCAAGTTCGAAACAAATATATGTACAGAGCAAGTNATTAAACATTTAAATCATGAGAAGAAGTCCAACAATTGTTCAATTCCTTATAAAATTCTATCCGTTAGCTTTGAACCAGTTCCGTCAGCCTTAGAACTCTAAACCACAAAAATTACCTAAAATATAGGGAAGCTTAATCGATCATTCAAACCTGCAATTTCAGGTTGATTAGACCTCTAATTGACCACTACTAAAGTTGCCGTTATACAATAAATATGTATTTCTCTTTAAATACACATCATTACCTCTTGCCATCTCGATAATTCTAAACCGTCAAAAATCCCTCTTTACTTTCATTTGCTTTCTTCTACAAAACTCTAACTCACCAATTCTCTCAAGAAATCGACGATCATGACAAACCCACAAGACAATCCTGGAACTCCTTCTCCACCCACTCCCTCTAATTCATCTACCCCTCCTCTACCTAGTACATCTCCCAAACCTAGGCTAAGAAGGGTGAAAATGCTTGCTAGGAAAACAGTAATGTCTGGGGCTCTCAAAAAGAAATTAAATGAGAAATTAAAGGCAAGCCAAGTCCAAGACTCTGACTCCAAATCTGATTCTGAGTCATACAAATCCGCTAGTGAGGGGGAAGGACCTGGCTCTTATGACTCTGAAAAGACTCAAGAATCCCCTTCTAAGATAGGTTCTTCTGTGCCTGAACATCTAGAAACTAGGTTTGTTTTGGTTGGGCCTATTAAGGATGTAGAATTACCTGAGTTACGAAGGTGTGGAGGTAAAAAAAAATCTGAAAAAGAAAAAGAGAGAGAGGGTGCATGTGATAAAGAGAGGGAAAATAGGAAAATAGTGGTTGATGATTTGTATGTGCTTGCTATCTGTGGGGTTGAACAAGAAAAGGTAAAAGAGAGTGGCAAGAAGTCAGGGGGAAGTGGTTCTAGTGAAGCTGCTGGAGGGTTAGTTCATCTAAGCACACATGGAGATAAACTTGGTTCATCTACTGAAGAGACCCTAGCGGACCTGTTGAAAAAGGTTAGGGCAAGTTATGATCCAAAGAAATGAAGAACTCCAACACCAAAAGCCCCTAGTGCTCCTAAACCCTCCAAGAAAAGAAAGGCTTCATCCCCAACAACTACTAAAATTTCATTACCAAAGGGAAGAGTTACAAGAAGCAAGGTGAAGCAGAGTCCGCTAGGAAGGTTGGACAAAGGAAAAAGGAAGGTTGCAGAGTCCTCAGAGGCTGTGGAGGTTGAGGAGATGGAATAGGTCCATCAGGATGAAGTTCAAACAGTGGAGGTTCAAACCCCCAAGCCCAAAAAATGCAAGACTTCTTCCAAGAAGTCTTCCTTTGTGTTTGAGGCTGCTGAACCTTCATTAGCCAAGGGGACAAGGTCTGCAGTGAAAAGTAAACAAGTAAGAATTTCTGAAGATAAGGAATGGAATGGAGAAGAAGAAGAAGAAGAAGATGAGTCTGATGGTGAATAAGACAAGCTTTCCATGTTTGGAAAAAGAAAGATTTTGAAGGGAAGACTACTGAAAGACCTGGTGGAACCAGGAATGATGAGGCTGGTGGATGCCTTAGCTGCTCAGGGGTGGAAGGACATGGTCCTTCAGATAGATGGTAGGCTAGCCAGGAATGAGATCATTGAGTTTATGGCCAATGCAGAGGTTAAGGATGGCAAGGTTAGCAGCCTGGTGAAAGGAGTTCAAGTGTCCTTTGATGCAGAAAAACTGGGAGAGATCCTTGATATACCCTCTGAAGGGTTTGATGACTATACAAGGCAAATGTGGCTTTGTATAAATTCCCTTCCTATTGCCCTTGACATTACCAGGAGGTTCTGTGATGCTGAAGATGTGAATGAGGCTAGGGCTGTTCAGAAAAGTGAAATGAGGCCTCAACACAAGGTCTTGTTTGAATTTGTCAATAAGTGCCTATTGCCCAGACATGAGAGAAGGCATATTGCAAATTATATGGACCTAGTTCTTATGGAGTTCCTGGAAAGTGGAAGGCAAATTAATTGGCCTGCCTTCATCATCAAGCTGCAAGACAGGGTCATCAATGGCTCAAAGGCTCATGCTACCCCCTATGGCTTTATTCTGACTATAATTTTGGATAGGTGCAATGTGCCTTTGAAGAAATGGGAAATGGCTTTAAACAAGGATCACTTTGGCATTAACACTCTGATTGCTTGTGACTATTTGGTCAATGCCATCCCAAATGAACCTGGTTCATCCAATAAGACACCTATCAACAGTAAAGTCAGGGCTCTTGTTCAGGAATGTGAAGCCAAGGATGCTGAGATAGCTAGGCTCAAGGCTCGTGTGGCAGAGGTGAAATCTGAGAGGGATGCTCTCAGAACTGAGCTTGCCAAGGAAAAGGAGAAGAATGATGGAAGTCTTCATAATATGCTTGTCATACCTCCTTTTTGTACCTACACCCCCGGAAAGGGCGCAAAGGAATTTTTCCAATTAAAGGACAGTCGGAACGGGATTTAATTATTGATTATTCAGAGTCGCCACTTGAGAGATTGATGGTGTCCCAAGTCACCGGTTGCATCCCGAACCGAGGAAAAAATATGACTCTGTTAACAGTCCGTGAACCAGAAATCCGTGTAAGGATTTCTGTTAACCCGGGAGAATGTGTTAGGCATTCCCGGGTTCCGTGGTTCTAGCACGGTCGCTT